CTACTGTTGTTACAACACTCAAAAATATGATACTTGCATATTAGAGAAAAATGTCTCCTCTGAGTTTATTCACTTTGTGTTTTGCAAGTAGTTTATTCCACAATTTTTTTTTTTTTAATATAGTAAGTAAAGACCAGGTGCAACCTCAAGAAGTCAAGGAGTGTTGGATTAGGCCCACAGTTTTCCCTCTCATTTGGTAACAATTTTTCTAAGAATCATAGAAAATGAGGGTTGGAAGGGACCTAAGGAGGTCACATCTAGTCCTCAAGGCAGGATCAGCCCCAACTACATCATCCCAGTCAAGGCTTTGTCTACCTGGGTCTTCAAAACCTCCAAGGATGGAGACTCCACCACCTCTCTGGGTAACCTGTTCATTGCTTTACTACCCTCCCAGCAAGAAAATTCTTCCTGATATCTAACCTCAACCTCTCCTGCTCCAACTTGAGCCCATTGCTCCTTGTCCTGCCATCTGCCCCCACTGAGAACAGCCCAGCTCCATCCTCTTTGCAGTCCCCCTGCAGGGAGGTGAAGGTTGCTATTCAATCCCCCTCAGTCTTCTCTTCTCTAGAATAAATAAACCCAGTTCCCTCAGTCTTTCCAAGTCATAAATCCTGTGCCTCAGCCCCCTCACCATTTTTGTTGCCCTCCACTGGACTCTTTCCATCTAGTCCACATCTTTTTGAGGACTCCAGATGTGGCCTCCCTAGTGCTGAATAGAGGGGAAGAATCACTGCCCTCGATCTGCTGGCAGCGCTCCTCCCAACGCAGCCCAGGATGCTGTTCGCCGCCTTGGCAACAAGGACACACTGCTGGCTCCTGTTCAGCTTCTTGTCCCCTGTCACCCCCAGGTCCTTTTCTGCAGAGCTGCTGCCCAGCCCGTCACCCCCACCTGCACTGGTGCAGGGGATTGTTCCCTGCTAAGTGCAGGACTTTGCACTTGTCCTTGTTAAACCTCATGAGATTTCTTTTGGCCCAATCCTCCAATGTGTCTAGGTCACTGAATCCTAGCCCTACCCTCCAGAGTATTTACTACTCCCCCCAGGTTGGTGTCATCTGCAAACTTGCTCTATGCCATCTTCTAGGTCATTGATGAAGATATTAAACAAAACTGGCCCTAGCACCGACCCCTGGGGCACTCCACTTGATACACCCTGCCAACTAGACATTGAGCCATTGATTACTACCCTCTGAGCCTGATGCTCCAGCCAGTTTTCTATCTACCTTACAGTCCAATCATCGAGCCCATACTTCCTTATCTTGCCTGCAAGAATGTTGTGGGAGACCGTACCAAAAGCCTTGCTAAAATCACGGTACAGCCAGAGGGGAAGAGTAAAATATTTTTAAGAATGCGGACAGGTGATTATTAATCCATAACAGTAGGCAGAGAGGCTTAGGAATAGGTGCAGTACCAAAATTTAGTGTTAAAAAATCTGTGTTGCAGAAAAAAAATGCATTTCAAGTTGATGGCACATTTAACAAAGTCTGCAGGTTACAGATAGTTTTAGTTCTAATAACAAAAAGAACTGCCATCTGAGGCAAAAACTGATTTTTATATACAGTTAAATGCCTAGGACATTAGAGGTTTGCATTAGTGGATACTTAGCCAAGAATTTTCTATTAAAACAAATACAAAAACATCTAAGACTTCAGGTGAGTACACAAAACTCCAGGGGATATAATTTCTGTTAATACTACCTCTTACTATTGGGAAATCTCTATTGAATCAAATTTATCAGACACACAAAAAGGTATAAAAGTGAAATATAGTAATTAAGACTTGTTTTTTTTATTGATTGTATGGCTTAAGTAATTTTTCATTACTAATGTAAGATTTAATAAGTATAAGTAGTTAAAGATTCTGACTTGGCACTGGTCATTAGCAGGTAATTGAACTAGTAAAAAAGATCAGTTAAACCTATGTTGATTACCACCTTATCTTTGAAAGGCAATTAAGGGCCTCAATCATTGCAACAAGATTTGATTGTGCAGCCTTTATTGGACATTGATCTTTCAGCAAAGTGCAGTTACATTTTCCATTAATTTACAGTAACACAGTTTAACTCTGATACCCAAAACTGTTGACCCAGGTAAGATGTAATGCTAAGCACTTGTTTAGGTTAAGATGCCCCCAGTAGTCATTATTGTTTAAAAGGAGAGTGCTACAGAAAGTAGCTACCTGATCCACTGGGTTTAGAGTAAGGTTTCAGGTATCTGAAGTGATTGTTAACTGAGGTGAAACAAAGCTCCTTGCCTTTTTGTGTCATCTCTCATTCATTTAAACATCATCCTTGTATACAGTGAAGAGATAATTAAAGCAAGCATTACAAAGCAGACCAGATTTTGTTTCAGATGGAAAACAGAGTAGATCATGTCAACAAAAAGTTGAAAGGTCATTTTGGATTTCAATAATCTGTGACAAAGTATTGACAGATGCTCATATATGCAAGTATTTAAAAAGTCCATCAAACGGAATACAGTTACGTCTAAAACAGTCCTAGGTGTAATGGTACACATAATGAATACTTACTGCTCCCAAATTGTCAAGTAACTAACCAAAGATGAATGCAGTCCAAACCCAGCTAGATCCACATGAAAATAATATGCACTCTCCTAGCCAAACAGCAAAGTCTCCCTAAAAAGTGCTTTCTAAACATGACATCTAACTGCAGTTTAGGAGACTCTTAATACAGATAGACTCTAAACTGTGTTTATTTAATGGCAGGCATTCTTATTAAGAGTCTGATTTAATACTCACATTTTATGGGTACTTCCCCAATTTATCAAGATCACCTCAGTCTTATCTGGATTGGGTTTCAGCCAGCCAGCTCTCATCCATACTCCAGACCTGAGGTAGGGCATTTGACAGGATTTTCTGGATTGGATGAAATACAGTACTTGTCATCAGCGTGTACTCAAAGCTCTGCAGCACATGCCCTCACCAATCCTCCCAATAGCTCATAGAAACATTGAGAAGGAGACAAAGCAGAATGTAAGACCCTTTGGTGCCCAACATAAGATCACTCTTAGGAACAATGTGCAGGTGCCCAACACCAACCTCTAGGAAGAAAGGCACAGAGCAGCCATATCCATCGCCTGAACTTAATCGGGCCAAGCCACCACCCTCCAACTCCTTTGGACCTAAACTAAAGCCCACTGAAGTCAACAGAAAGACCTGGGTGATTTCAGTGAGCGCTGGCTCATGCACCATAACATCAAAAAGACTCAGTATTCCCATTTCTCCTACACGTGGATCTTACCGTGAGTCCTGAAGAGGGTGCAGGTTGCCTATTTTCTGGAACTTCGGGCTACCCCACCTCCTTTTTCATGCCGTTTCCAGCACAAAGAAGATATCAAGAAACTGTAAAGCATCCTGAGATTTTACTCTACCTAAAATTAAGAGCCACAGAATGGATCCAACACAAGAGATGCTCACCAATTGTAAGGAGGCAGAGAGGAAGGTTTGGAGATATTTGGATGGTCTTAGGGTACAGGAAAAACAAATAATGAGCTAAAAGGGGGTGAACTACTTACACTGTGCTAACTGTAAATGATAATCTTGCACAATAAATGAAGGCTAAAGCATAGTAGCTGAGCCCTCAGTGAAATGAGGGCAGCTTCCCTGCTTTAGCTTTCGCTTGTTACAAAAAAAAGGCGCACAGACAATTGCTGCATGGCATCTGCTCCAGGAGAAGTTCCCCTCTCTTTTTAACTTGATGCAACGTGTTGAGACCTGAGACCTAAAATGGCCATACAGATTGACAAGGAAAACAAAAACCAAGCAGAGTTTCTACAACCCACTGTCACTGCAATCTCTTTGGATAGTCTAAAGTCAGTGTAGCAGGAAGCAGCTTATCTGCATACTCCCAGTAGGGTCTGTCACAAGCAATTTCACGAGTTCATCATCACTGCCAATATTACACATCTTCCAGTCTGTCCTCCTCACCCAGAATTTTCCCAGGACGGACAAGAATAGTAGGCAGGCTGTGGTATCTAGGAACTCATTTATCCCCCCACTTTTAGGTGATGCACTCATCAGAATCTAATTCCTAACGTCCTTTGTATGAAAGAACCAAGAAGGGACTCCGGTCTCAGGCACCTAGAACAGCAGTAACATGGACCTCTCTGGTTCTCTCGGCAGAGTTTATCTGGGAGCTGACAGAGGCAAGAAGAGCCAGGGATTATGGTGACAGGAGGAAAAAAGTTCCCAATGCAGAGATTTTCACTGAGGTGTTATGAATCTCAGCATTACCCATCCATCCTTACATGCAGTTTCTAGGTGTTGCAAATACTGCCTTCACAGACAAGGCTTCAGAGATTTATCTGTGGGCTTGGAAGCATATCCCAAGATTTTCTAGGCAAAGAGTACACCTGGGATGCATCTTGCCCTTCAACCCTTTTCATTTTGAACTCAGTACACGACTAAAGAATAGATCTTAGTCAGGAACCAAACGAAAAAACCCTCAAATAGAACGAAAGCCAAAGTGAGCCCTTTTGGTTGAAGCCAAGTGAGATTTCTGTTCTCCAAAAAAGTGATTAGCTGTAACTCAATAATTATATTCAGCATTTGTGTACGCGAAAACATAATCCTTTATGAATGGTGTATTTTTCTTTAAGTGTTCCAATGGGTCGCACACAAGTCTTAATGAATCCAATGAATGATGTTATATTTGAACTCTGCCCTCAGCCATCTTCCAGTTCATCCTTTAGCATGATCAACTCCGCAAGAGCAAGAGGTCTATTGATTTTCATGTAATACAAGAAAATATTACATTTGCTTAATTGTTACACAGTGAGAGCATTGAACAAGAAATCAAGTCTCTATTTAATGCTGCAAGCAGCACAGAATTGCAGTGATCAATACAGTAGTTTGTCAAAGACGTTCTCTAAGGAGACTTGCCCATCTCTATATGGACAAGGAGTCACGTTGCCTGCATTTATTGAAAAACAGGTAAGCAAAGTCAGCAGTACACATTATCAGAAATCAAACAAGCTGCAGTGAGTGGAGGTGCAACTCCAATGAAACGCTGTATTTATAGTCTGGTAATTAAAAACCATTTTATCAGCCTTGTGTTGAGACCAAACCTTTACAGAAAAATATTGACAAGATCAGTAGCAATGAATGAGCAGTATTTGACTTTAAACTTATGAGCTGTAGTTATTTAACTTTGCCCATTACAGAGGAAATCAGTTCTAGCCATTCTAGCGAAATGCTAATAGCCAGTTTTATTATTAATGAAGCTTAATGTAACACCATCTCCTCTTCTGGGAAAGCTATTTATTTAACTTGTGTCAAGAATATTCCTTAGTACTAAATATACTCGTGTAAGTGCTTCTTTGATTAAAGTTTTATTTAGTGTCGCTTTTAGACAAGCAAGAACACTAACTTTTAGACAGCATGAAACAGTTTAATATTTGCAAACCATGCTCAACAATATTTAGGTTTCATTGTACATCATCTCACATGGCAGGCTTCACCTACAAAGAAAAGTCCTCTTGGCTTACAGCAGTCAACTGTCCCGAGGCACCAGTGTGTGCAAGCAGGCTACTGATTGTGCGAGTGCTGTGTACTCTTGCCACCAACAGCTGTGTCAGCTATAGGTGAAGCACACTGTGGGCACATACGCCAGTGGCAGCATTCTCCCCTGCAATGCATTTTGGAACCTGAGTGGCACATTTATGGATGCTGATGCTGCACTAAAGAAAATGCAGGTGTATGTAGGTGTTTGGGGTGCATTTTCCATACACTTTTCCTCTGCTTTGTCCCATCTCCAATTCGCATGACAATTTTTGAATGTCTAGTCCCATGTGTTTTCTTTCTCCACCATCACTAGGGATGCTGAATTGTTCTTTAATATGATCAAATCTGTTCTGCCTATGGACACATGGAAATTTTACATACAAGGTTAGATGAACAGCTTGTAGTCTAGACATTCAGACATGAGGTAATAATTTGGCCAAGTCTCAAAAAAAGCACATCACTACATTATGTGATTTTTTTTTTTTTTTTTTTTTTTTTTTTGTCTGTGCCCTATAGGCAACCATGAATTTTTTAACACGGAGAACAGAACAGTATTCAATAGAAAAGATTTTATTTGGGGTGAAACAAAGTGTAGCGCAATGTATACATTCATGAAAACAGACGGATCAAGTCAACTCATGAGTAATCAGCCAGAAAAGGCAACATAAGCATTTCACATCAGGATATGCGAAGTCCTGAAGAAGAAAGTTCAAGTGCTTGTAAGCACATAGGCTAGCCTTTGAGCTCTGGGAAGCTGTAATTTTCTTGCAGTTCTGTTGATGCTGAGAGGATGCTTGGGGGGCAGTAGTTATATCTATGTCATGGCATAGGTAGTGTGCAAGACTCTTTGTAGATGGCATTTTCCGTGGGTTAAAAAGGGGAGAGGGGTGCAATGTGCTGTATCTGATGGCTGCCCATTTCTTACAGCATCTTCCTCTACTTACTGTCCATTCATGGTCCTAGAGAGCCCCTTATTCAGCTGCTTCTTGTCCATGTCTGTGTATTTTAATACCCTAGGAATATGTCCTCCCTGGAGCATCTTTTTCATTTCCTCATTAGTGTTGGCCTTGCCACTAATGTTAAAGATGTGCCTCATATGACCAGCCTAGCCAAGAACACTGATAAAAGGAAAGATATGGAGCTTGTTATATTTATAATGGTAACATAAATGGAAAAGTAACCATAAAAACTTACTGAAAAAAAATTCCTGTGAACCACCATTCCTTGTGTTTTATGCACGTGGGACAGGATGCTATTTCAGAACTGGTCTGGGAGGGGGATGTTCCAGGAGAGGAAGTGTGTACTGGGATGGAAAGGAAAAAAAAAGTCACGTTTACCAACGCTGTCTTCTTCCTTGCTGCATTCTGTTCTTTGGGACTGGTTCTGCCTTTGGTTGGCCTGCATATGGAACACCTGGTCCAAAGCAGAGCAGGGCACAATGAGTTATGATCTGCCTTGGCAATCTCCCTCCTGCTTGTCCAAGGTATCAGTGTCCGCCTCATTGCTTTGGAGGTTCTGTCCTCAAGATCCTGCAGGATATCCACAGTCAGTGTCATGGCTCATTCCCTGCCAAAAAATGGTGTGAGGCTCTCAACAAAAAGGGGCACATCAATGAAGCAGCTCCCATTTTGTTGTTCCACATGTTAACCCTGTGGTAGAGCTGGCAGGGAGCCCACTTGAACTCGTTGCTATGCTCTGCCCTTGTAAATGACTCTTCCCGCAATTCTGGTGGAGCTGATACTGAATATCTGCATCTCCCCAACGGCTGAAGAGGACCAGCACTTCCTCCTTGCTCTAATCAGAAGGACAGGATTTCAGAGTGCATTCCTCTGTGGCAAGCCATACCTTTCCACTTACACAGGTGGCAGGACAAGGAAAGAGGTTTTCCCAAGACAGAAGGGAGATTAGGAGCAGTGTGAGAAGGGGAGTGGGCCACGATTTCCAGCTTGAATTTGGACAATAATTATACCCACACTGACAATAACCATGACCAGAACAGGTGGCATCACATGTTAGCTGCAGCAGTCTTCCTGCACTAACTGAGCCAAAGAATGTCCTTATTTGTTTGGTTTATAAGGACATGATCATTGTGTCACTAAGGGAGGTGGTATGTCTTAGCCAACACAAACCTAGGTTTTTGTTAGCCTTCAGGCATTACATAGGTAGATGAACACAAGGTTTTGTTGACAGAACTTTATTTCTATCCACAAAACACTCTTGTGTAAACCAAGCTTCATACCAGTGATTGTATTTTAAGTCTTTTGCACATTTATTTTCAATACAAAAGACATTACTTGCTGAACAATACATTAAAACAAAACCGTTCACAGCATACAAATGTCTCTTACACCTGTTAGACAGCTGTTATGCAACAAAGTGTCTCTGTTCATCCTCAAATAACTCTACTTGGACTGTATTATTTCCATCATTCAAATGACACACAAGACTTGAAAGATTCACATCTAGATCTCTGCTCTCCCTAAACTATTTGGATAGTTCAGAAACTTGCTATATAACTAGCTACACAGAGGTATAACCTAGATACCATCTTTAAGAACACCTTTCAATTATCTTCCCTCCTCCCAGGTGCAAACGAGCTTACCTTTGTTTTGTTTTTTAAAAGCACCTGAGATTCCCCTGACCAGCACAATGTCATTTATACCAAAATTAATGACTCTCTCCCCCGCAGCTCCCTTTCTTTACTGTATTGTTTTACCATACTTTTTCAGTGTCAATCTTTTTCTGAGCACTTTCTTGGCTTTTCTCTACTAGTAGTGATCACTACCTTTCCGGAAGAGTGACAATTCTGCCTCCAGCTTTGAGTGGCTGTAAGTGTTGCACATCCTTTCTGTGCAAGAGGTGAAAAGTGGCTTAGGCCACTAAGTTTACAAGTCCGTCATTACTAACACCAAAAAGTAATCCCAAACACTAAAAACAACCACGTCAAATAAATAAACCTCTCTTTTGGGGGCTGACTAGGAACATTTTGGCACTCAGACTCTTGATTAGTTTGGCTGGCTCCCACTAAACCATCTCTTCACCCAGTTTTGAATTTAAGTACTCTTTTAATCTCCCATCATCTAGGAATACTAACATCTAGGAATATTAATAATAGGTGAAAATATTTAGTTTTCTCTGTGTCCCATGACCTTAGAAGAATGACAGTTTTTTTCAGTGGTTACCAGTATCAATAATCTGTAAAGAAGAGTAGGGAACTGCATCTTTTAGACTGTTGGACATGTTAGGGATAAAACTAAATGTAACAAAAGAAACACAGACCCCTGAGTTCAAGGACCAAAAGACAAAGATGGAAGCAACTGCTAATTAGTTTTTAAAATGTGTTCAGAATGAGAGTGTTTAGATGCACACAGATGATATTCTGTTCATGTGGATTTTAATTTTGGGATGGGTGCTTAACTGAGCATTTCACCACATTTGTATAAAACAGGTTGGTATAATAATAGACTCTTTCAGACTGTGAGTAGCTGCAAGGATAATCACAATCTGAAAGAATCCACTGTATACATAGAATCCAAAATCCAAGTAATTTATAATTATGTGCAACATTTTTAGAGAATTTGCTTGCTTAAAGATATATTTCAATTATAATCATGGCCAAATGTATATCAACAAGAAAAAAAAACCATCAGTAGCTCATTCCCAATAATAAGTATTTCAGTCATTGATTGGACAGCTAACACCTCTGAGGACAGTAGAATCAATTCATTTTCCAAAGCTGTTGATTTCTTCATCTTCACTGACTCTAACATTCACTTCTTCCCTCTGCCCAAATAAGAAAATTGTAGCTGAACAAAGTACATTGAGAAAGTCTGAAAACAATGCACTGAAACCAGACTGTTGCTTTCTTCATATTTTAAACAAAGCAAACATTAAAAACAACAATAATAAAGCAATGTGAAAACCCACCAATGAGAAGCAACTGAATACATAATTTCAGTACAGGGCACCTTTATCTTCTTTATTTAGAAAATAGATAGTCACTGGGCCACAGCTTGTGTGAACAGTTTCTGTGACATTGGCAAAGAACCAGGAGATAATTCCATATAATAAGGTTGGGATACCTATGAGAAAGAAAAAGTTGTCAAACACTGCAAAGTTGTCAAGAAAATTCACACCAACACAGAGGCTATGAAGGGAAAAGCTAATACAGTTAGTGCCTTTTAAGACTTGGTTTAAATTCAAATGTAAAGAGTGGAAAGCAACAAAGTCAGAACAATGGTGAGCTGCTAGCACATGCATAGTCCTGGTGACTTCAACAGGACCGCCTGTAACCAGGTGTACTTCAGTACATTTCTGAACCTGGTTCTCCGAAAAGGTGAGCAGTTGTCTGAACGATGATCCTTATAACAGGTGCTTTAAAAAAAAAAAAAAAGTTATAGGAGGTATTTGTCTTGTATCAGAAGGGCCAGAGAAGTGGAGATTATGTAATTACTAATTAAGAGGTTTCTACCTGGAGAAATGTGGGCAATGGAGTCCTCCGAGGCTCTGTTCTGGGACCAGTACTGTTCAATATCTTCATCAGCAATTTGGACAAGAGAGTAGAAAGCACCCTGTCCAAGTCTGCAGATGACACCAAACTGTGGGGGGGGAGGTGAACAAACTAGAGGGCAGGGAGCAAATCCAGGTGGGATTTGGACAGGCTGGGGAAGTGGGTGGAACAGAATAGGATGCAGTTTAACAAAGATCGTGTCATGTGTTGCACCTAGGGAGGAAGAATCATCCACACCCCTACAGGCTGGGAGGTACCACTCTAATAAGACCAACTGCAGAAACGTACCTCACAGTTGTAGTCGACTCCAAAATGAACATGAGTCACCAGTGTGACGAGGTAAAAAGTAAAGCTAACTGCTCTCTTTCTTGCATAAGTAGGTACATAGGTCTAGGGAAGTGATACTTCCCCTCTATACAGCATTGGTCAGGCTGCAGCTAGAGTACTGCATCCAGGTTTGGGTGCTGCACTTCAGGAGAGATGTGGATAACCTGGAAAGGGTTCAGAGGAAGGCCACCCATCTGGTTAAACGCCTACAGAAAAAACCCTATGAGGACCGATTGAGGGACCTGAATCTCTTCAGTCTCTGCAACAGAAGGCTAAGAGGTGATCTTGTGGCCGCCTAACAAACTCACTGGGGGGGACAGCAGGAAACAGGGGATACTCTGTTTGGTGCCTGTCGGGGTAACTAGAAACAATGGCCATAAACTGAAGGAGAGCAAATTCAGACTGGACATCAGGAAAAAATTCTTTACAGTGAGGGTTGCCAAAATACGGAATGGGCTCCAAGGGAGGAGGCGCTGTCCCCTTCCTTGGAGGTAGTTAAGAGGAAATTGGACAGACACCTGCCTGGGGTCATCTGACCCCAGTACTCTTTCCTGCCCAGGGCAGAAGGTCGGACGTGATGATCTAATAGGGTCCCTTCCGACCCTAAAATGTATGAAATCTATAAAAAATGAGGGCCTATATAGGAGATTTAACATTGTGCAAACAGAAATAAGGCTATGTCTTAAAGGACACAGCAGCAGCAGGAAGATATCGATATCGATAGATGCTGTCTCAATAGACAGGTCAGGATCAGAGGTGCCACCTGGTTTAAACCAAAAATTACCTCCTTGCAAATCTTACTAAGTGGGAAGTCATTGTTGTGGTCTAAATCAAACAATTAAGTGTCAAAGTCCAAGTCCCAGCAATCTGCGTTAACACAAAAGACCTGTAACCTTCATTATAACTGCTATTAACCACCCATGAACAGTCCTACCTGCGCAGTACACTAAGATTATCCCACACATTATCAGACTTGTCCCAGACCTGACCAAGAACTCCTTGCACTGAAGTCTAGCTTCACCCCAACCACACAGCCCATCCAGCAAGAGAGCGCGTTGCCTCTTGCAGAACTCCTGGACCCTCCCGGCTGCCCCACCGCTCTCCCCTGGCAGCTACGCTGCGGCTTTAAAGGGTTTCCCAACTGTGCTTGTGAACAAATGCGTGGGGGTTTCCACACCCCCCGGCACTGGCCCATGATTACTGCCACTGTTACCACTGCCACTATTACTACTGTCACTACTGCTGTGACTGCCACTGTCACGATTACTGCCACTACTGTCACTACTGCTGACTGCCACTGTCATGATTACTGCCGCTACTACTACTTGCACTGTTACTGCCACTATTGCAGTTATTACTGTCACTATCACAATTACTGTATTACTAGTCCTTACTATTACTGCCACTACTGTCACTATTATTACTACCACTATTATTACTGCCAGCACTGTCACTATTATTATCGTCATGATTACTGCCACTAGTCACTATTATTACAGCCACTATTCCTTCTGTCACTACTGCCACCATTACTGTTTATTACTGCCACCATTATTACTACCACTATTATCACTGTGGGCACTGCTACTGTCACGATTACTGCCACTAGTCACTATTATTACAGCCACTATTACTATTATCAGTATTGCTGCCACTATTAGCCCTGTCTCCATTATTACTGCCATTGTTATGATCCCCACTGGCATCATGATTGCCACTGCCACCAGGGCCACTGTCACGATCCGCTATGACTACTGCCACTATCCCTGTTACCACAACTGCTGTCACTATGACAACTACCACGAGTATTGCTGCCACTACTGCCCCCGCCCCCGTCACCGCTGTTACTGCCCCCCCCGCGCCTGCTGCCGGCTCCCGCCCCGGCCGGAGGAGGGGAGGGGAGGGCGGGCCCGGCCCTCACCGGCGTTGATGAGCTTGATGGCGGCGAAGGCGGCGTCAAGGCGGGCCAGGGGCAGCGGCGGCCCGCGGGAGCAGTGGTACTTGACGAAGGGGAAGCAGCCGGTGCGCAGCACGCGGTAGTTGGTGCCGCGCACGGCCCAGTTGAAGTGGGAGCGGCCGAACTGGTCGTTGCGCACGGCGCTGTACTTGACGCAGAACGAGGTCCAGGGCGGCAGGCCGCGCTGTGCCAGGTGCTGGC